TCAACATTGATATGGATGGAACTATATAGACTTATAGTTATAAAGGCAAGGTATTCCGGAGCTAAATGGTGTATTCCAATAGTGGTAGTTTGAAAATATAATGGAGAAGTTCGAATTTATGGGGACTATCGTAGTACATTGAACTGTGCCCTGAAGGCAGAACCTTATACATTGCCCTCAGTTCAAAGTATATTATAAATGCTAGCAGGAGGTAAAATATTTTCCAAATTGGAGATGACACAGGCCTATTTACAGTTAAGCGTCAATCGCGTAGCTGCACAGTTTACAGTTTGGTATCTCAGTAGCACCTCAAATTTTCCAACGTCTCATAGACATGCGATTAGCAGGAATTAGGTGTTCTGCCATATTATGACGACATACTAGTTATCGGACAATCAGAAGCTGATTTAGACAGTAAAGTGCGCGCCGTGCTTTCACGTTTTAGGGAAGATGGACTCAATTTACGCAAAGACAAGTGTGTATGTAATACCAAGTCAATAGATGTTCTAGGATACCAATTAAGTGAAGATGGTATGCGGCCCACTAAAGAGACCATCCAGGCAATAGCTAATGCCCCGAAGCCTAAAAATAAGACTGAACTACAGGCTTTCGTTGAACTTGTGATCATGTTTCCTTAAAGATAGAGCAACTATAGCAAACCCATTGCATTGCCTTCTGAGGAAAGAATCACAATGGCAGTGGCGTACTGAAGAACAAGCGGCGTTTGATGCATGAAGGACACTTTTTATGTTAAGAACCAGTTCTAGCACATTATGCAGATAAAAAAGCAGTAGCGTGTCAAATTTTTTGGGGGCCCCCCCGCGAACTTTTTTTTGAGGCCCCTTATGTCACTATTAGGTATGTTTTCCAAAAATAACCCATTATAGTAAATATTTATACACAATATCATTATCTAATAGTTAAAAAACACAGCGAATTTTTGAAACTAAATTTATCTCTATAAATTATTATATGTTATTATAATATAGGAGGGATGATTGAAAAGTTCTAAAAAAAATGTTCTTCTAATACAAGGAAAACATACAACAAATATTTAACTAATAAGTACAAAGATATGGAATTAAATATGCATAATTTAAAAAACTACTTATAAAATATCCTAAATCTATGGGAATCACTGAGGTTTCGACCAGCCAGGGTTGACAATTGTTTGGGCGTTCATATTTTTTATGTTCGAAAGAAATGGTGACAAATTAAATATGCGGATTTGAAATGTTTAAATGTGCATATTTGTATTTTTGGAGTTTGTTTCATATACATAGGTATTACTTTTTCTTAGAGGAGGCCCCCAATATACCGGGGGCCCCCCCGCGTGGCGGGGTCTGCGGGGCCGTTTGACACGCGCCTGTAAAAAAGACCTGTGATGCCAGTCCCTATGGTGTGAGCTGTGTGTTGTCTGTCTGCCTGTTTCACCCTTTCGAGCCCATACTCTACACTGCAGCCTTATAGGCTTATTGTATCTCATTTGTAAGAGCTCTACTCCTTCTCATACCTACCGTCCCGTACTACTGCGGTCACCCATTCAATCTCCATCCCGACACCACGTTACTTGGCTTGAGTAGGCCGTCTTGCGTCCTTCAACAAGAACCAACGTGCCGGTTGGGTTGTGTGTTAAGTCAGCCTAATGATGATGGAAGAGAAACTCCAGTGGCATATCACAGCCGCACACGCACAGCGAAAATAATTTTGCCCAAATTGACAAGGAAACTCTCTCTATAATTACAGAAATTAGGAAATTCCACGATTATATTTTTGGCTGCAAAGTAACTATCAAGACAGGCCATAAGCCATTACTAGGTGTTTTCAATCCAAAGAAAAGTGTTCCAGAAATACTTTTACCCAGAATGCTGAGATGGACTCTAATGTGACCCGCATAGATTTGGCTTATGTGCCTGGTTCCAAATTTCAAAATGCAGATGCTCTTAGCAGATTACCTTTAAATATTGATACCCCAGCGACAAATGAGGTCTTGGTGCTAGAAAACATCTAAAGACATTCCCTTAGAAACTAGGAAAGATCCAGTTTTATCCAGGGTTTTACAGTGGGCATGGAAAGGTTGGCGAGAGATTCCAGAGAACAAAAATGGATTTACGCCAGAGCATACACCTTTTTTGAACGAAAATATTAAATAACCTGTTGTCAGGATTGCTTATTCTGGGGCACTAGAGTTATAAATTCCACCATAGGGGGGAGGGAGAGAATGCCTAAAATCTCTATGTCTAAAATACATACTTCACACTGCGCACCCTGACTTAGTGGAAATGAAGGCACTAGCACGGTCATATTGTCTGGTAGCCTAGCATGAACAAGCAAATTGAGGATTTAGTAAATAGGTGTGCTGAGTGTCAGGAGTCGAGAAACATATAGGTATTTAAAAAATCGCCAGTACACCCACCGTTGGGAATGGGCACGGGGCCGGTGGCAATTAAAAAAACGGCTGGGTAATAATGTGCAACTGGCTGGATATTTACCAGCCCAACATCCAACACACATAACCCCACATAATTCAACACGTAAGATCTCTAGCAAAAATGCTAACGGGCCGATTATCTATTTTACTTGATAATTTACAACCAGATTTTCGGAAAGAGATGATCACAAAATAGGCAGAGAAGCAACATACAGAACAAGGAAAAAAGAACTGGTTTTTCAATGATAATGATTCAGTATATGTAAGATCATGCAGCGAGTTGAGCGAGTTAGAAATGATTACTTTACTATCGACGATTATCGAAACTACAGGGTCTACAGGGGCCCAATTGCCAAATTCTCATCTCAGGAAGTAGAGCTCCCCGAGAAAAAAATTTTTCGTCTTTATCATTCTCGTTTACTTTTCGATTACGTTGACAAGGACAAAACATTCGTTCTACCGGGGAGCTCTACTCCGTGAGACGAGAATCCGACCCCTAGTCCTCTGAGCTACAAAGTATACCTGAAGGAAAAATCATGCGAAGACATTCTGACCAAATCCGTTCCCGAGTTTCAAACGAGTTTAAATCGGACTTTTCCCGAGTCATTACTCGGAAGAGTTACCTACAGATATTCCACCACAGATGGAACCGGAAATCTCTGATAATGTAAGGGTGCCAACTGTTCACACACCACCGTCTATAACGAGAGAAAGTAGGCGATGGAAAATTGACCCGTTCGAGTGCAAAACACATGGAGTATGACCAGGGTCGTAGCTAGAGTCAAATTGGTGATAGGGCATGCACTACTTCCCTCCCTTCCTTAAAATTAAACAAAATAGGGATAATGGCGCCGAAGGCAAATTTTTCAATAAACAACATCAAATAACATCTCTGGGAAGTAAACAAAATGGCGCGTTCAGGCAATAATTTTTGAGGGACCTCTTGTACTTGTCCTACTTGTGAAATAACTGTATAACTACCAACTTACTCGATTTCAGGTCTATTCATCAGCTGTGGTCCAACCGACATGGAAACCGTTCCAGAATCAGTAATTTCCAATTGCCCACCTAATTTTCAATAAGTTGAACGTTTATCCTACTCGACAAATGAATTGATCGACTGGAAATTACCGGTTCTCATGTTGGTTGGAACAGTACTTTCATCTACTCTGAAATTTCCTAGAGAAACCTCAACGCATGTTGTGTTTTAAAGGTAGGGCATCATCATTTGAAAAATAGGGCATTGCCCCCCAATGCCCCTCCCTGGCTACGGCCCAGAGTATGACAGGTGTGAAGTGTTCTAGGACTGAGCAGCTTCGCACTCTGCACCCGAAAGCGGCTCAAGAGTCTAATTGTGAATTGGAGAGTCAATTTAGTAAAGTAGTTTAAAGTTAACAACCCAGGCTGCAGACTTAATAGAATCCTAATTTCTAGAGGTAGGTAATTCAGTATATCTTCATATACGTAGATTTTAAGTAAAAAAGAAGAAGCAATTCAAATAGCAGGATTAGATTTCTTATGGATCCTTATAGGCTTATAGCCTATGTATAATAAATAATTTATTCACTCATCTACTACACCCACCAAGAAGTTTATTAAAATAAAATCAATGGCAAAACTTAGTAGTAAAATACCTTTCCGATTTAATATTCTAAACACGATGCGGTGTTGCACTATTGTGTAAATTGCCAAATAAATTATTTCCCACGCACGTTCAAGAAGTCATTACGCAAATTGGTAAATTACACGTAAAAGGTAACGTCGATGTTCTTCAATATTTTTTTACGGTTTTCATACAAGCGTGTCATGGGTATTTACTATTTACTCAATAATACAACTAATTGTTTTTTTTTTTTTTTCGAAAAATTTCAAAATGGGTGCCTACCTATAATCACTAGAAACCTATGTTTGTGTGGCACAAACATTGAAATTCCCAATCAGTAAAGAACGAAAATTTTGAGGGTCTTCTTCAATATTTTTTAGCAAATAGATTGTCGCTTTACCGATGCTTGTAGGTCATTCTGCGGTTGCATTTTATGTTATTTCCTTTCAAAGCTTTTATACCTATGTAACTTCTTGACAAAACCATAAAAGTAAATTATGTACCTAAGGTATTACATAATTGGATAGTTTCTTATATTGAAAGCATTTTTGTGTATACAATTTTCTTTAAATAAATTCTAGATAATCTCTCATCAGAAGTGCACGAATCTTATTTAAAACTGACATCAAGTATAAGTATCAAATTGCCAAATTTGGTGTCTCTCTCAGAGGGTGTCTCTATGTATCTCGCACATCTAGCTGGCTATTTTATTCATATTCTACATTGTAAAAAATCTTTCAAGTTGTGCACAATCTTTGCAAAACTGCCTGAGGACTATAGAAAAAGGAAGCGAATTATGTATCTGGAAATAGTCCATAGTAAAACAGTGAGATGTGATTTATTAGTTCTGCAACCTGATTGTAGTTGAACGGAGTGTTATAAGAGTACTAGATTTGTCAGGATTCTTTCAAAATACTTAAAAATTATTCACCCCTTGTGTTGAAATGCTTAAAATTCAAAACTTACTGTTGGCACATTTTTGTGGATTTGGCAGCGATAGGAACCTTCCGGGTCTGCTGGATACTGGCCGGCTTTGGGCGCTGGCAGGGGTGGCGAGCACGACGAAACACGCGCACAACACCAAACAAGCCAACTTCATCTGAAAAGAAAAATCATTATCACAATCATAGAATCACTTTCATTTTTCGAAGATTTTTTTCCTAATTATTCATGATTGTCGTCTCCAATAAGCGTTTGCAACATCGGAATTCCAAAATCGTCATAATTTGTTATGAAAAATAAAAATATGACCAAAATTGCAATAATAAAAACACGGTATATTAAGGCCAATCTCGTATTAATGTATCGGTATGTAACGAGACGCCTCAGGAGGGCCATTTAAACGCGGGAGAAAGTGGCCAAAATTTCAATTTAAACGAGACTAAAATTGATTATGGAGATAAAGACATACAAACCTAAAAATAGTTTTTTTAAAGTTTTGTATTACGCAATCGAGCTTATTATACGATTGGTGGTCCACTTTTTCAGTAGATTATTTCGTTATTATTAACATAACATTAGCAGAACGGATAAATTGTTGCTAAAATTTTTACTATAATACTTGCCAACAAGAGAAATTATTTTGTCAGTCACTAAAGTAAAGTTTGTCGTTTTTAATCTGACACTTTCCGTATGAGGAGCGAGGGGGTGTTTCATTTGGAAAAAACAGGTGTGACGTCAGGTAACTATTGGCGTTCTAATGTAGGGAGCCACCAGCTCCCATTCCTTTCGAGTATCAGATTAAAATCGACAGACAATACTTGAAACTACACAATAATTCTTAAACTTTATGAATTCTCAGAAAGATTATAATTTTGAGGATTTGTTTCCAAAAACCTTGGAATTTCGACCGGTAAAGATGTTGTTTCTTCTCTCCGCGTATGCTGAATCTTTCGCTCGAATGTTGTTCTTTGTAGGATTACTCAAGACCCATTGACAGGACAAATTTGAAATTTGAAGGATTTATTGAGAAGGGTTTGAGGCAAAATATACTAAAAAATCAAATTATTTGAGCCTCAAATAAGAAAGTTGCGAATTTCTTCAAATAGAGCTTGTAACAAACAGACCTTGACACACCCTTGGATTGCGGTACGAATGACAATCGGGCGAAAACGGGAGACAGTAGTCATTGTCATTCTCAGTAGTTATCTCTGAAGTGGGGAAGAATCAACCCCCTATGCGAATAATTATATCAACACCAAAGATCATTTGCCCATAGCCATGCCACCGTATCGTATGGCGCCTCAAAAAAATCTTTACTCAAGGAACAAATAAATCGTCTTCTAGACGAAGATGTGCGCCTGTGCATTGACTATCAGAAACTAAACCATGTCACTGTATAATTATTATCCACTTCCGCGCATGGAGGACCTCTTGCATGCCACCAAACGCACTACCTATATGTATGTCTATTTTCGACTTGAGATCGGGTTATCACCAGGTTAGTGTGCATGAACCAGATCGTGACAAGACTGCTTTTGTGACGCCTTTTCGGACATATCGTTACACGCGCATGCCATTCGGCCTTAAAAATGCACCAGCGACCTTTCAACGGCTAATCGATCAATTCCGGAACGGATTAACCAATAAGAGCGGTACTAGGATTTAAAACATAGTGTTTGATAGGCTTGAATAGTTTAAGCTGCGGGCAAATCGCGAAAAGTTTGTGTTCGCGTGCGCACAAGTGAAGTATCTCGGACTCTTAATCACGCCACAAGGACTTTCCGTGGTTCCAGATAAAACAGCAGCCATTGTTGAACGCCAACCACCTCGAAACGTCCATAGGGTACAGTCTTTCCTACAAATAGCGAGTTGGTACCGACGTTTTATAAAGAACTTCGCCCACTCAGTAACATAACCAAAAAGGATACTAGTTGGAAATGGACTAGAAAAGAGCAAGATTATTTTGACACCCTAAAGACTGAGCTAAAGACTCTTTTGGTTACTGCTCCGATTTTACAGCAGTGTGACGAAACAAAACCATTTATTATCCGAACCGAAACCTCGGAGCTGTTCTCCTTCAGAGGAAGAAACAGTGGAACATCCTGTTGAGTACGCGAGTACTCTCTCAAATAACACTGAGAGAAACTACTCAACTACCGAGTGAGAAGCATTATTAGTATGGGCACTAAACAAATTCCAAGGCTACATAGAGTGTTCGCTAATCACCCTGCAGGCGGATCATCAACCCTTGTGATGGCTGTTGAATACAAAATCGCCCACCGGCAAACTAGCTCGTTGGGCTTTACAAATTCAAAGGTTCGACCTGAAAATCGAGTATTTGCCAGGCAAATAAACGTCATCTAGGTCGCCATTTAACCATCAACTTGAGAAGAATTGTGAAATCTGTACTATAGCTATTGAGTTACCACACCTATGAAGTCAGAGAGGAACAGCTAAAAGACCCTGATCTTGTCAAAATCATGCAATGTTTTGAAGATCCTGATGATACTGGCATGAACTTTCGTAAATGGACATACAGAGGCTATATTATGTCCCAGGGAGTTTCAATACCGATATTCAACCGAGGATGACGAGGAGGAAGCTCAGTTAACTATACCAGTGCACGAAAGAAATAAAATTCTGAAAGAATATCATAACGCACCTATAGCGTCGGTCACTATGGCTTAGAAAGAACTTATCAACGGATCGCTAAAAGATATTATTTTCCTGGTATGCGCCGTTTCATCACTGAATATCTTTAAAACTGTGTAGATTGTCAAAAATACAAGGCATCTAATCGAAAACCGGCGGGTCTTTTGCAAACACCTTGATTTTGAGATCTTAGTATAGACCTATTTGGGCCTTTACCGCCAGGAGCCAGGGATGAAAAGGGGATTTTCATTGTGGAGGACTCTTCCACAAAAAGGGTTGAGTTATTCGCAGTAGAGATACATGATTCGTTCACCATCCTTCGACGCCTCCGTGACGTCAAATTTTCATAGAAAAATGTTTTGAAACTGGAGCACTGAAAAAACGTAGTGTCACTTAAGGACGCTGGAATAACTAACTAGACTTTGGATGAATGAAGAACAACATGTATTATCGCCAGGGAATGTGGTTTTTGTTATTGTGATAACAGGATTTCGAATAAATTAAGCAAGTTCGGGAAACTTGTTATCAGCAGCAGAAATTATTATCATTTAAAAATAATATTTGGGGCTTGCCGACAAATGGGGTCCAAATTGGGGCCCCGTATTTCTATGCTTAGGGTCCCGGCGGCGTGAAACCAAATGTCGAATGATGATGTCGCATTGAAATAATTGGTAGGTAACGAGACATGAATTATTGTCTGATCGTGGCCAGATTTTAGTTTAGAAAAATGGGAGCCCACGGAAAATGGGAGGCCCAGTACGATGTATCTTGTTACAAGTCACGAGTTATGGGGTACCAAATTTCAGATTTGGAGTTCTAGGTACGTGGTACAAATTTCTGGTTACCAGCATGAGATACGGGGTATCAAATTTCAGGTTATGAGTTCTTTACATTGGTTTCATATACGGATAATGGGGCTGCGGTTCTAGCAACGGATCAAGGGGCCCCTTTCCGATTTTTTTTTTCCTAGATTTAGGGACATTTTATTGGCAACGCCGCACATTATTAGTTTTGACAACGTCGCACGTACCTGTCCTGTCATCTTGTATGGGGTATCTCGTTTCAGGCTATGAGTTCATGTAAATGGGGCCCCGAAAAATTGGGACACGAGTCTAGCAGCGGGGATAAGTATGTGGCGCCTTTGCTGACGTTACTTGGGTTAGGCCTTTTCAAATTGGGGCTTGCTACTTGGATTAGCCCTCTTCAAATTGGGGCCTGCCAAAAAAATGGGGCCCCACGAAAAAAAATGGGGCACATAACTTTTTTTCGAGAAAAAGCATGTTTTTTCTTTATAATTGCCATAAATATGTATGACGTCATCCTTCACAAACCCCTTATTCTAGATTTCAAATTAAACACTTGACAGGTGGTATTTTACATGTGAGCGCTGTCAAAAATGACGGGTGACAGGTGTTGATACCCCGTGACTTGTTACTCCGTATAAAATGACAGGTACCTCGTGTCTCGTGACTTGTCATCCCATACAAGATGACAGGTACCTCGTGATTTCTTACCCCGTACAAGATGCCAGCTGTAAAAATGACAGGTGACGAGTGACAATTAACGTATGTCAAAATACGGACCATGCCCTAAAATATGGCAAAACACACGTGACCATCATTTGGGTTAGTTCAGAGATTTTTTACTGTTGACGATCATTTGGGTTAGTTCGGAGATTTTCTACTGATGACGTATTGGCGTCGCAACGCCATTGTTGACGCATGCGCAGACATCACGGAGGCGTCGGAGGATGGTGAACGAACCATGTATCTCTACTATTCGCCTTGACACAAGCTACATCGGAAGAGCGTGCCAATACCGTGATTAATGAGATTTGCTCAGATATGGACTACCACGTAAGTTAATCAGTGACAACGGCGTCCAATTCATCTCCGCCATTATGCAACAAGTTTGTTTTATTTTGGGCAATAAACAGACATTCATACCCTTGTATACCATGTTGCTGCTGCTAATATAGTGGAACAAAAGAACAGGGATCTTAAGGTCAGACTCGCCATACTTGTCAAAGAAGGCACTTGGCCTGAACGGTTACCGATAATTAGATTTGCCATGAACTCAACTATGTGCGAATCCACCGGACAGACAGCTGCGTTTTTGAGTTTAGGAAGACAGTTGAAAAGTTTAGATAACGTGGAATCCGACATTCGCTCAGTTGTGGAGTCAGAAAATTTTGTTCTTCAAATCACATCCTACCTACTATTCGGTACTCAAAACCCACTGGGAGAACAAATTTGAATTTTTGGTCTTCGTATTTGAAAAGATGATCGGTGTATTCAGATTCGATCTGCAACAACGTCTCCATGATGTCTTTCAAGGAAAATCGAGGGAGAACTTGCTTTAAACTACTTAAATAGATCACGATACCAAAGCTGGAAGCAATTTTGTACTTGCTCATTAATTCCGTTCCATCTTTATCCATTATCTATTGGGTCTTTCCTCCAAGAAACTGTTAACAGCATGCAGATTTTATTGTTTAAGATATCCATAGAAGTTTTTTCTCTGTCATTTCTGGATTTACATCAAAAGTTGCCGTTTTTCTATTCAGATTCCTCTTTGCTAACTTATATGACATTGAAGTTGCCCATCAGAATAGTTTCAGTTGTATTGTCTTCGTCTATGGCTGATGATAGCTCGTCAAGGAACATTTCTGGATCTTCAATTAGTGTCCAGCTAGAGAAAAACTATGTTCACTCTGTAATTCCATGAACTATTTTGCCAGAGTTTGCATTACAAAGGGTAGGGCAGAAATACAAACTTCATACGAACGCAAGACTCGTTACATTAATGGAAGTGATGCAAGCTTTTCTTCTGGGGATACCAACAATGTTCGAACAGTCGATAAAGGTACAAAAGTAGTTCTTGATATTTACATATAAATGATGATGAACTTGAAATGCCTTACGATGACGGATCTGTTCATTGAATTATAATAAAATCCACGTGGAAATTTTTTTAACGGTTACACCGAAACATTAAAAATTTACTAAACAAACACCAAAAGTTATTCAATGGGAAAATTAGAACAATTAAAGGCATTGCTGTTAAACCAAAACACCACCCAAAACTTTTCGCCCTGAACCAGTAACCAGTTCCTACTTGAACCGGCCAACATGTCAACCGATCCCATTCCTATATGGTCAACACCTGTCCTTGTAGTAATGAAATCAAATGGTAGTATCCGACTTTGTGGAGATTTTTCCGTATCAATTAACCCACATATCATCAAAGATGATTATCCAATACCTCGGCTGGAGGATGTTCTATCTAAATTGAACGGTGGCAGGTATTTTTTTAAACTTGATTTGAATTACGCTTACCTTCAACTGGAAATTCATCCAGACTCTAGAAAATAGTTAGTTATAGCCACACACCGCGGGGCTATTATAGATACATAAACGTTTACCATTTGGCGTAAATTTTGCTCCGTCACTTTTCCAACGAATAATGGATCAGCTCTTGTCAGGCATAGATGGAACTGTAGGTATATATTCTCGATGATATTTTAGTATCAAGTTCTTCTAACGGACTTCATTTAAAATGTTTGGAACAGGTTCTTGAACGACTCTGTAATGGTTGGTTTAAAGACACAAGTATCAAAATGCATCGTCTGACTATCAATGTTGAAGGTTTACATCCGACATAAGAACATTTACAAAAGATGCCAAGTCCAAGTTACATAACAGAATTTCGATTTTTCTCAGGTTCAATCACTTACTACAGTAGATTTATCAACAAACTTCATGTTATCTGCGTATCACTCATGATAAGCTCAAGAAAAGCAACACGTTTTCTTGGACAAAAGAAGATGAACAATTGTTTCAAGCGATGCCAGTTCAAGAGGTTTAGGAGCAGTTCTTTTTCAAAAATTTTCAAATGGAAACTTAAAGCCAGTGGCTTTTGCATCAAGGATACTTGAATAGTCAGAAGTACGCTACGCAGCTATAGACAAAGAAGCACTCGGATTTGCAGTGACAAGATTTCATCTCTATCTTTATGGTCGACTTTTTACTCTGATGACAAATCACACACCTCGAAAAAAAAATCTTTGGTGAAGAACGTGGTACACCAAAAGTTGCTGGAAATCAACTTTCAAGATGGGCTATGATTCTGGGAAGCTACGACTATGATATCAGTTATCAACCACCTCGCAAAGAAAATAGACTGGCGGATGCGCCTTCCACGTACGACAACATAAACACTTCACCTGAAGAAGACACTGGGTCAACGAAAAAAGTTCATTGCTTACGAATACGAGTCCATAATCTACCAAATTCAAAAAATGAGTTGAAATTAGAAACAGAGAAAGACACGATAATCAAATATGTCCAGTCTCAATGGCCTAAAGAATTCGATGAGTTTCCAATCCTAATTGACCAATAAATAAAGAATTTCAATTTATATCTATCTTGAGTACCTATCTATCGTCTTCATCAACCAGTTCATTCTTGAGCAACCGAAACTAGAAACAACAAACATCGAAAAATAAGATTATCTTTAATCTTTTAGAGATTCATGCAAACAGTGCATTAAGTAATACCGGCTTTATGCATAATAAAACGGGATCGTGTCTCAAACGGCACGATCGCGTTTGCAATATCGTTTGACTTTTGGCGCAAGAAAAACTCGACGTTACGTGATATGTGAAGATTAACTTAAATATTGATGTTATGGTCTTCTGTTGAATTTGGGAAATTTAATGATAAACTAACTCTAGCTTTTAGTTTCAATACACTAGATTTTCGAAATATTTTAGTTTGAACAAACATATGAGTTCCAAAAACTAACACTTTCCTACTTAATTTGAACTTCAAAGTCTATATTTTACAATTATAATGTATTTTACGGAATCTTTTATTAATTAATTAGAACTGAATCAAGCAATTTAAATGAGCTTTAAATACCATTCACAGTTTCATGTAGATTGTAGATTTACAAATCAATTATTGATAGAAAAAACTTAAAAAGGTAAAATAACTTATTCGGCATCCTCTCACATTTTTACACACACGTTTTAATTGGTTACATAACAAAACCGCTGCTTATACAGAAACAAGTTTGACAACGAGCATAATTTACTGTGAAGATATACCTACCAGAGGAATTTTTAGCGATGATTTTCAATTAGGAGAATGCGAATTTTAATATAATTAATGATAAAATGACAAAAAAATAAGACTTTTAGAAAAATGAAAGGAATATTGTCTAGTGACCTAATAGGATTTTTGACTTAGTTTCCGTTTTTTTTTTTTTCAATTTTGTTTCAAATTCCAATCGTTGGGTAAGAACTAAATATTCAAAATGTAAAAGTACTTACCGCGTCGTTTAAATCCACAAAAGTACAAAAAACGGGCAGAGTATATATAAAAACCTTTACAGAAAGCGTATGAAAAGTAAAAAACGCACCCACCACAAAAAAGTATCACGCACGTGATAGTCCTTACCTTGTTGGATCAGTAGGTAACACAACACAAAATCTTCAGGCGAGAGTGAGAGTCATCTTTATAGCTAAGCGGTAAAGTTCTTTTTCGCCACTTACGGGGGAACACCATTTACATTGATCGACTCGTCAAGAGAAGCGGTAGGTATTCAATTTTTCCTGTTGAAATTTTAATGTTCGAACTCGTATGGTGTGTGTTTAATCTTTCATGTTGAAATGTTTGAAATTTATTGGTTTTTGTCAGAATTTTTGAAGTTTACTCTGTGGTAATCCCGCATGAAACAAGGATATTTGATAGGCAAAATTCAAACATAACATTTAGAACCAAAGAAGAGTTATTTCAGATATTCAACTCGACACTCGTAAGAACAAGGTCAAGAAATCAAGCCAAATATCTAAAGAAATTCTAGACTTATGTATTGAGACAACCAATCAAGCTCTACGTACTAATCCCGTCATAAGTAGGTACAAATTCCACTCCCAAATCACGAATAATTGCTACTTCCCTGATTGATGTGTTATTAAATGTGTAAGGGAATTTCATCGTTTGGGCTTACCTGGAAAAAGTTATTTCTTAACATTTGGCAATATTGAGATCTATTGTGTTCGAGCCACACCATTTAAAGCATCGATATCATCTTGCAGTAGTTGTCAGTCTGTTGTCGATAATACCTAACGATAAAATATTGAGATAATCTGCAAATGACAAAAATAAGCTGTGTGCAATCGGATATGAAAAGATTGAACAGGATCTGCCCACACTGAGACCCCTGAGGTTGCCAGAAGGAACATCAAAGACCGCCATACCTAACTGCCTGAGTTCTCCTAACAGGCAAGTCAGCAAACTAACTAAAGAATTGGACCTCACACACCCAAATACCAAGCTTTTTAATGAGCAGGCGACGGTTAACCCTGCAAAGGCTTTAGAGAAGTCCGAGTAAACAGAATCTACCTAAAACCCCCTTTCCATGCTTTTCAAAATAAAGTTCTGGATACAAAACCAAATTTTTTGATGTTGATCCTATACCCACCGTAAACCTATGCTGTTTCGAATTTAAAATGTACCTTCAGTTCCATCTAAGTTTCCTGGTAATGAGACAATCCAGCAACTCAGGAATCTGAGAGTGCGTGCAATAAGCCCTGTAACTTGTGGCCTCTTCTCTTGACCCACTTTTAAATATTGGTTTCAAAAAGCTGAACTTCGACAAAACCGGGTAAGAACCAGTCGACAATAAATGGTTAAAGAGATTTACCAGGGGCGTCGCAAGGGTGTACAGGCATTTCTTTATAGAGAGCAAGGCAATTTCATCCAGCACACATGACAACTTGTCAGGTGAATTTTCTATTTGTTTTATAATCTCAGCACAAGAAAGAAAGTATCTAGAAACATCAGTGATTTTTGAAAATGAGTATTCTAGAGCCTGATTAGTGATACGGCTCGAGTAAACACTAGAAGAGAAGTCTACAGTCTCTTGATTACTACAGCCAGTAGAGCCATTATAACTCATGTTATACAGGGAAGAACAAAGTTATTTCTAAGATTGTTGAAATGTGACCAAAATGATTTAGGCATCTGTAGTGTTTTGCCCTTACTATAATCATAGGATATAGGATATTAGATGAAATTGATCATATAAGATATTTATTTTAATTCAGGTACCCTCTAAGACACTCTATAGTCCCTTTCCCAAATAATGGTTCAGCTTGGCATCAAATAAATGTAATTTTATTACATTGTCTGGACCTTTCTGTTATATTGCTTGTGATTGTAAATAATAGTATATTGTTGTATTAGGAGTAGAAGCTTTACTTTTTTGTGCTGAAGCAGTAGGTTTGCGAGCCGAACGTAGTGAGGCTTGCAATACTGCTGAAGCACAAAAAAGTGCTTCTACTCCGTATGCAACACGCTATTTTTTCTCCAAACGAATGGGGTAAGCTCCGGGGCAAGTGAATGGTTGAGCGGCAGTAAAAGTACGAGCGGCACTAAAAGTACTTCTACTGCCGCTCCAGCGGCACTAAAAGTACTTTTGCTGCCGCTGGGGTTACCAAGCAGCATAGAAATTAAATTTCTACCACCTCGATAGGTGTTAACCCGCTGGATTTGCCTATCAGCATGGAAATCAAACTTCTGACATCTTGACAGGAGTTAACAAAGTGACGTTTTTCTGACGTTTGCACCTGTCAAGATGTTAGAAATTTAATTTCTATGCTGGTAGGCAAATTCAGCGGGTTAATACCTGTCGAAGTGGCAGAAATTTAATTTCTATGCTGCTTGGCAACCCCAGCGGCAGCAAAAGTACTTTTAGTGCCGCTGGAGCGGCAGTAGAAGTACTTTAGTGCCGCTCGTACTTTTACTGCCGCTCAACCATTCACTTGCCCCAGAGCTTACCCCATTCGTTTGGAGAAAAAATAGCATGTTGCATACGGAGTAGAAGCACTACTCCTAATACAACAATATACTATTATTTACAATCACAAGCAATATAACAGAAAGGTCCAGACAATGTAATAAAATTACATTTATTTGATGCCAAACTGAACCATTATTTGGAACCGCAGCGGCAGTAGAAGTACTTTTAGTGCCGCTGGAGCGGCAGCAAAAGTACTGGAGTTCCTCCTCACTGTAATTATAATCTTCTGAGTACAAGGTTTTTCAATTTACTTAAACCCTTTCTCGGCCTTTCCAGTCAGCTTTATCTGGTTCCGTAATCTTTTGAATATCTACCTTCTTTCAAACAGACCAAGAACCAAGAATAAACTATGGATTAACCAGTTTGGTGTCCTCTAGCTTCCAGCATGCAATTGAACAGGCAAATTACCTAACTAGAACATAGTGCATTTCGAAAACTTAATCTGTTGGAATTGTCTACTCCAACACAAGTTTTCTACAAACATCAGACTTGTGCTCGAGGACAAAGGATAACAGATTCATCTCTAAAATTAATGAACTTGCTTGGAACTTTTAACCTCAGCATGCATGTACTACACAGTTCCACATCTGTTACACAAACTTCGTCTATGTACCACTATTGATTATATTGCATTCAATATTCCTTGCAGTATCTTTGACCCAAGTCTATCACATCACCATGAAATTTCGGCTGATTTTCCATTAAAGTGTCTTTCTTTGTCCGACAAGAACAATTTTGACAGGATTCACAGCAATCCTAATTTTGATCTTTTTCGTCAGGCTTGTGAAACTTTCAATTGGAACTTCTCAGAGCAGACCCATTAGGAACTTAACACACTTCCTTTGCTGATGTGGTCAACAGTACATTTCCTCTGAGACGCCTTAAGCCAAGACGCAAAAATAATAAAATGTGGTTTACATTAGGTATACGGACTTCCTCCTCAAATCTCAGATTCGTAAAGGCTTACTCGAACAGTACTATAGTTCAAGATTACTATACAACATACAGAAATATTTATAAACCTCTTAGCTGTGATGCAAAAAAGCTCTTTTATTTTGAAGCGCATTATAAACTCCAGCATTGGCGTATCCAGGATTTTGGTTTGGGGGGGGGGCTCTGTTAACAAAAAGTGTTGACCAAAAAAAAAAACACTGCGCACAATACAATAGTTTATTTTCACTTGCCTCTTATTAGCTAAAGCCAATATATTCATGCGCTTGTTGCCACATGTAGAAATGCCGAAATATTTTACTACGTAGCAAGAGTTCAACGATTATACCTGTCCCTGTCCTTTCTTTTTTTTTTATGAAGTAGTAAAGGACAAAAATAGGTCACAGGTTGTGACTAGTTTTATGTCAGCCATGTTTGGGAATGGTTTACTAATGAGAAATTCGGCATCCTCGCATGTTTGGGAAAGTGACGTCCCTCTCCTATTCCGAGTTTTCAAAGCAGTTTAAAAATTCGATTTTCAAATAATTTTATTTTCGAAAATTAGCGTTTTTTGGGAAGAAAGTATACTGATGGTATCAAAATGACTAACGTATTCATTTAAAAATTTGAAAGTTGCCTATTTTTGTCAGAATTCACCTGTAACATACCCAAATGTTACGCGCTTATTCTTTTCTGCGGGGCGATAAAAATGTTCGTTTCGGGCTACTTATTCGCTTTTTTTTTGTAAGAGGAGACATTTTGTACACGGAGCCTCTTCGCTCTTGAGGAAAGAAGTATTTCAGACATTCAAGATGATTAAGATGAAGCACACTATGCGGTAAAGTGCACTTTACCGCACGCTCGTAGGTAAAAACTTTTTACAAGTCAGTAGGGTCAGAGAATTATTTATTAAAATTTTATTACCTATATTGTTCGTCGATTTTAATCTGATACTCGGACGGAATGTGAGCTGGTGGCTCCATACATTAGACCGCCAATGGTTACCTGACGTCACACCTGTTTTTGCTATATGAAACACCTCCTCGCTCCTCCTACCGCAAGTATCAGTTAAAAATCGACGAACAATATGTATTAATTTTTTATTTATTATTTAAGATTGTTTACAAATGAGTAACAAATAAATTATTGTACATCATACGCCAGGTATCAGTTTTTACTGGCTCTTGAAGGTGACATTTCCTTCAATCACCAGTAAAAACTGTTTTACCTGGCTAATAATGTAAAATACTATATCCATGCTATAACACAAAAAGAATGCTTCCGCTTATCACTAATTAAAAATACATACTTACAAAATTCAAATTATGAGAAACAATTTATTGTACTGTACTGTACCTATGCAACGAGTTTTTTGTCTACGCCTAAGATATAACTACAGTTAGAGATTCCTTTGAGTGTCTCCTTTGAATTTGTGTGGTAATTGATGCGGAAAAATATGTAAAAAGATTATAGTTAGTTAGCTAACAGCGTCAAAAACGCATGTGTTATAAAATTTTAGCTATATCCAGTAGCAAAGCAGTCTGCTTTACTGCACACACTATGCGGTGAAGTAGGTAAATACCGCACACTTTGCAGGTTATTTTAACGCAGACTATGCGGTAAAGTAACTTTAAAAAACCTACCTGATGTCCGGGTTTGAGGAATTAGAATTCGGGGTTTTTGTAAAAATTGTCCTCGCATAGTGTGCGGTGAAATGCTAGTTTTTACACGTTCGTAGGTGAAATTTTTGTTGCTACTCCGCACTGATTCTATTCTACCCCGCTATCTTGCCGTAATCTGCCCCAATAAAGGAAGAGCTTGTGGCAACACTGTATACGTCAATCCGTCGTATTGTTAATTC